ACTGCTTGCTAAAATGCATTTATTTCTCTCTGGTCAGCTCCCAGTTAAAAAATAGAAAACAAAATAAAATAAAAAAAAAAAAAAAGGAGAAAATATATAAAGAAAACAAACTTGAAAAAATATAGTTACTGTTGAGAAAATAACTTTGCTGATGCTATTGGCCTTAACTGGATCATTTTTTTAAATTATTATTATATTAACCAATAATTTTAAGTGATTGTTCATCTTGTTTAACAGTTTTTTATATATATAAATTCAGTTGAACACATTCAACACGTATAACTAATTATTATAATTTATTCCTCCCTCCCTGACGGCACTTTCCGACACTTGATAGACTTTTGGTGCTTTTCCACTGCGTGGTACGTCTCGGCTCGGCACGGCTCAGTACAGCACGGCACGGTTTGGCTCGGCACGGTTTGCGTTTCCACTGCAGTTCAGTACCGCTTTAGAGTGGGCGGGATTATTCACATGTCATTATAGTTGCGCCGCCTCTACTCCCACGACTCTCTCCAGCCAATCCGTGATCAGCAGAGTTTACACGTCACGTTTTGGTAACGGCACGGTTCACTTGGAACCCCAACCGAAGTGGTACTAAAAAAAGTACCAGGTACCAGGTACTGTACCCAGTGGAAAACCCCCCAAAAGTGAACCGTACCGAGCCATACCATGCAGTGGAAAAGCGCCATTTGTCCCTCATGCTGCTAGCCCTGACAACTCCACTAAGTACACCAGCATGTAGGCTGCTACCATAGACTGTATAAAAACATGGACGTAGTGTCCTTGACGTCACCTGTAGGTTCCTGAAGAGGTTTTTGAAGCTCAAAGTGGGCAGAGCCGGCCGTCGCCATCTTGGCAACGCGTCACCGCGCGTCACTCCCGGATAATCGAAAATGGGCAAAGAGGCGGGAGCTGGTTGCTGAAACTACGCCCACCTAGCTCGACGGTGGTGACAGCAGCGGCAATCCACCTGTCACTGAAGTGGCCACGCCCTTAATTATGCAGAACTTTAAGGCTTAATATAATTTAAACGGATGACTTATAAAAAAATTCACCCCCCTCACAGTTGTCATGAAGGGCAAAATTAGCTATATAAACCAAAATCTTTTTTTGATCCAGGCTGTAAACGTTTTTTTTCTGCTGTAAAGTTGGGCATTTTAACATGGGGAGTCTATGGGATTGACTCCATTTTGCAGCCATCCTCTAGTGGCCAGTTGATGAATTACAGTTTAAGTCACTTCCTTGTTGACTTCCCGAGAGAGAGCGGGAGGTTGCCGCTTGGCTGCAACGCTCTACATGTCCAGATGTATAATGATTCTCGCCCCTCCCTATGCTCTTTTTATCATCTGTGAAAAAGGACATGAGGCTGGAAATTGACAGAGCTAGGTTTCAAAGAAGTTTACGCTTCAGAGAAGGTAAGCACGCTAAGCAGGTGCATGCATGCGTGCCATACAATCATTCAAATATGCATTATGATAATAATCTGAAGGCACAATTATAAAACATATGTATTTTTAAACGTTCATAACTGTAAAAAAAAAAAAAAAAAGATTTATTACACAAAGGAAAACTATCTAAAAGAGCATGTATAAACATGTTTTTTGTTTTTTAAATATATATATAATGTAATGTGGATTAAAATTAATCCACAGAGTAAATAATTATCATGGAAAATGTTTCTAAAAATAAATTTAAAATTTGTCGGAAGCATGGTGGTAGTGACGTTGAAGGCGAGCGACAGTGGTGTTGTAGTTCATTAATAGCCTAATGTTAGCTTTTTAGTTCTGGCGCTTGTATTTAGGCTTCAAAATTCAACAAAAAAGCATATTTTTTGCGATAATCCAAAAGCCTATGGAAAAATCCTATTGGCTTTTTGTCAAGGGAACCAGTGTGACGCTAACAGCCGATCCACCTACAAAGTGACGTCGTAGTTCCCCCACTCTATTGCAGCCTTGCAGCAAACAAACTGGGTCAGTGATCACAGATTCTACCTGACCTAAAAAGCCTCAGCATCCATCTAAAAAGCTCTATGAGCAGAGGAATATTAAAAAACCCGGATAAATCAACTGATCAACTTTCAGTATAATGCTTGTCACCTTCCATTGTCAATTGCATTTGTTCCTTTTGCGTGTACTAAATTTGACAACCCGCATAATCAGTGAGTCTGAGGATAAGGGGGAGGGAGAAATGACGGTCTCCAATATTTTGAATTACGACTGCAGTACCCATTTAAACTTCTAGCTGTCAATATTACATACTGCACCTTTAATGAGGTCCTACAATCCCAAAAAGTCCCATTGTGAATGACATATCTAAAAAGCTCTATAACGAGGCATATTAAAACGTGGATAAATCATCGCATCATTAGTTTGAGGAGCAGTTTGAGGAGGAGGAGGGAGAAACTTCTTTCTCCAATATTTTGAATTTAGACTGCAGTACCAATTTCAACTGCTAGCTGTCTACAGTACATACTTTTCAGGATTAAAATTCTAAATGCATTACAAAAGGCACTTTTCCCACAAGAGAGGAAGAGATGGATGGATGCCAGATTGTCATGCCACAGCTAATCAGGACGCTTGCTTCATGGGCAGTACCAGTGTTTTGGTTAGAGTGTAGTGAACCTCAGGCATCTGCTTGCAACCCTGAAGGATTTTGGAGCTCACTATTCTATTCACCATTGTCAAAATAGAGTGTATGTCCTCTTTCCTGCCGGAACAAAAAGATACAAGTCAGTCATATGAGTAGGTGTTGTCTGTGACACATCAAAATGCATTAGTGTTTACAAATGGAATGTGGCCATATGCATTCCCAACCTTAGATGGTGATTATCAGACCACAATGTGTTTTCAAGATGCATTGCATTACTTTTGGAAAACTCACCCAAAATGGATGTTAAAGGGGTCATATGATGCGATTAAAATTTTTCCTTTCTCTTTGGAGTGTTACAAGCTCTTGGTGCATAAAGAAGATCTGTAAAGTTGCAAAGACTAAAGTCTCAAATCCAAAGAGATATTCTTTACAAAAGTTCAGAGTCAGCCACACCTACCTAAAACGGCTCGTTCTAACACGCCCCCACATATCTACCTCACTATGTGGGAAGATTTGCATAACGCCGCCCAAATGTTCACGCAAAGAAAGAAGGCGTAACTTTTAGTCTCACTGTAGTTTTGTTGACGCTGCAGCCATGTCGTGAAGACGCTGTGTGCTTCGTTGTGAAAGTGAAACTACTTTGTTTGGCCTTCCAAAAGAGGACGATATCTGCTTCGTCATGCCT